TATATGTGTACATATATAATCCTAATTAGTATCGAAAGACTTAGCAATTAACATTTAGAACCCCAAAGACCCTACACACTCACCTCCTAAACTAGTCTAGACAGTGTTAGAAAAAGCCCAGATGACTTTCCCTTGCAGATTTGAATGGTGAATAGGTCTGTGCATGCGAGACTGAATACCTGGGCACTGTCCTTAGCTCTTGCCACTTAGAATCTATTTGGTTTGGAAAAGTCCATTAAGACTTTGAGCAACAATATTCTATCAACAAAAGTCCATTTCCAGACTTTTTGGAACTACTACTCACTGTGAGCAATCACGCTAGTGCAGGGAAACCAGTAAGCAAGTACCAGACCCTGCCCCTGGTGTCAGGGAAAGACCTGGGCACCAAAAGTGAGTAAGGCTGGCCAGAAATCAAGACTGAGCTTGTCTTTTGTTTTTTTGGCTGCCATTATATCTCTGCTTACATTTCCATATTGCCCTTCCATGTACATCTTGTTTTATTATGTGTTTTCATGAGAAACATTTGCCCTTGAGAGAGATGAGACAGAACCTTCACAATGTTTAATATAAAATATGTTGATGTCTTGCAATCTAAATAAATCAAAGCTTCTGAGAATATAAATACCTCTGGGGAAGTTGTCCAAGAAAACTCCATCTTTCTTCCTGTCAGAGAAATGCCTTTTGCACCATTTGCAGTTACATTGCTCATTGACAAGATCTGGAAAGGGAGGCAGGTAAGAGAAGACATTCCTGACTACTGACAGTTTCCTAAGGAATACCCAGCATCCAGGAAGAAAAGTTGTTCTAGGTAAAAATCATAGCAGTATTTATCAGAGCAGTTTGGTGTATAAACCCAGCTTAAGTCTGCTCAGATTTAATTCCAGACTAAGAACCAACCGCTGGCCCCCAGATTTGGCAGCAGTAATTCCTGGCATCTTTGCTTTTCTGAGAGCAACTGCTTTTTTTTTTTTTTAATTTATTTATTTATGCATACAGAACTGGGGTACAGGCCAGAGGCTCAGGTGCAGTGAGAGGCTTCACCAGAGACAGAGTGGGGAGCAGAACAGGCAGATCGAAGAAGTACACTGCTGAGGGGAGCAGTGGGCGGGTCAGGAGAGGTCTGCTAGGCCATGTGGTCACCTCCGGGGCAGGCGGGGATCGAACTCATGCGGAAATAGCTTAAGCTTCTTAGTACTGTGCTTTAACCCGCTGCGCCACCAGGGAGGGCCCGAGAGCAACTGCTTTTTAATGGATGCCCATGGGTGGGAAGTTAAAATAAGAAATCACAATTTCCTTATAAATGTAAAAATTCTGTTCTTCCTTCTACTATTAAAAAAGCAGATGTTGGGTTAAGATTTTTTTTTTTAAAGATTTATTTATTTATGCATACAGAACTGGGGTACAGGCCAGAGATGCGGAGGGTGAGAGGCATCACCAGGGACAGAGTTGGGAGCAGAACAGGCAGATCAATGAAGTACACTGCTGAGGGGAGCAGCGGGCGGGTCAGGAGAGGTCTGCCACACCATGTGGTCACCTCCGGGGCAGGCGGGAATCGAACTCATGCGGAAGCGGCTTTAGATTCTTAGTGCTGTGCTTTAACCCACTGCGCCATCAGGGAGGGCCCCTTAAGATACTTTTTTAGTATCATTTATCTGGCCTCTTTTTACGTGTTCACTGTATTTGCAAACCTCGAAATACTACTTTTTTTTTTCGCTCTGACAGTCAAATCTCACCTCCTCCACGTGAAGTGGGAAGATGTCTAAAGTTAGGAACTATCTTGCTGAGTTCGAATCCCAATTCTACCTGTAAGCTCCTGTGAGAAGTTGGGCGAGTAATTTAATTGCTCCGAAACTATCCCTCCATCTGCTTATTAAATAATGCATTTGAAAGCTTTTCCCAGAGGTACTGTTTAAGATAAATTGTCAGTAACATAAATTGCACACTTTAAACAATATTTTCATCATTATAAATATATAACAAACTAAAGTAACAGGGTCCCAATATTTGTAGTATGAATAATTCTACTGATTCAGCAATTCTAATTACTATACCAACTATGAATTAGTATCTTAAAACATACTTTTTTTTTTATATCAGGCTGAAAGAGGTCTAGTGACTCCATAAGTGTGTTGAAGCTGGCACAGGACGCCAGGGCTCTTGACTCCTAGCTCAGTTTTCTAGGCTTATTTGATTTGTTTTGATGGCTTAATACTCTCCAACATTATTATTAATTTGCTTAATCAACCATACTTAAATAGATTAATCACATAAAACCAGCTCACATTTATTACTAATTCCCAACTGATAGTTCGCTACTACATTTACATACAATATAGACATGTGTTGACAATCAGAAGTCTCATGGGTCAATTAATATAGGAAAATGCCAATGTCATTCTGAGTTTCAAAGATTTAGTCTTCTGAATGCCCAAATGCAGGTATTCTCTTCTTCTCCAGCTATTATTGAAAACAAATGTTTATTAACAGTGTTTACTGAGTGCCTTTTATGGACACTGGGGAACAACAGAGAAAAACATTGTCTCCTGGTATAAGGGGCTCACAGTTGGATAGAAGACATCACCATTTCTCAGCACTGGCTCTGGAGTCCTGGCATAATTCTTTATGGGTATCTTTTCCAGAGACCCCAACAAGAGTATTGGGGGAAACCTCACAGACACTTCCACCTCCAACACTTTACACTCCTTTGAGCCCCGTCAGCTCTGCCAAACTTCATTGCTTCCACTTTCTCTGCCCTGGCCTTGTCTGCTATAGATAAATCCCAGTATGCTGAAAATTAGCACATTACTGAAGCCCATTTGTGCACTTATATGAAGGGCTTTACAGAAGGAGTTCTGAGATCCAAACAATTTAGGAAAGTATCTTAGTGTTCCCCAAATTTCTGCTATAGTCAACAAATTCTGTGAAGGTCTGACATCAGAGATGGTGGATCCCCAAATCCCAAAGGCCAAGTCAACTCAATAATCTCATTTTTAACCTAACCAATTAGTTAATCACTTAAAACCAAGACCAAAATAACCTAGGTTTGTGTTAATATCCACAGCTTTGTGAATAGGTTTTGCTGCTATGAATATTTATCACCTAATGCATGTAAAGTAATAATCATCCAGTAAGACTTAGCTTAGTAAACTCTTGTCTCTAGCTGTTCAGCATTGTTAGATAATAGGGACAAAGTGACCTAGAAAAATATGAACTTTGGCAAAAGGCCTATATTTTAAGACTCCACTATGATTTCATCTCCTGGGAAACTGGTTTCCTCAATGGGAAAAAGGAGAAAAACACTGTGGATTGAAATGATAGTGTATTTTTGAGCATAAATAAAAAGTTAAAAAAAAAATGGTACCCATCATCATCAATACTATTGCCATACCTTTATGCTGTTATTTTTTATAACTATAAATGCCTTCAAACTTTGTAAAACATGTCATCTTTGCAACTATCAGTTTATATAGAAAGGAAGTTGGATTGTATAATCATCTGATCAATTGATTATTAATTCATTTTGAGAAGTTTCAAAATTGAGAGTCAAAACTAGAGGTAAATAGTATGCCCTGTATGTGAATTTGAATATATATCCTCTGTAACAAGTTTATCTCTATCACTTTCTTAACTTCAACACTGAAATGCACATGACGAAATTTTGGACTACCACCTACATCATGGAAGGATTTTACTATATTTTACCATATATATTTACTATATTTGACTATATTTGCTATATTTAACCATATAGTTGGCTAGTGATGGTGCACTACTGATATGTCACTCTGGCTAGGTTACAGTGACCAGTTATTCCACCAAACACTAATCTAGGTGTTGTTATTAAAGTATTTTGTAGGTTAAAATCCACACTCCGTCCACAAGACCTAAGAGAGATATCTTAGATTATGTGCGTAAACCTAATTCAATCCATGAAGGGCCTTGAAAACAGAACTGGAACTTCTCTAAGGAAGAAATCCCACCTGAGTTCAGCAACCTCAGCTTGTGTGTGTGACTCCAGTCTGCCCTACCCCAAAAGCATTGGATGTCAGACTAGCATAGCCACCAACACACATGTAGCAATAAAACTCTTAATAAATTTCTTCTAATGGAGTCCTGCTTCACTGGTTAAAACCCGATACAACCATGGAAATTATTTTTCTGTTTTGCATTAAATCTGACTTTATCTTAATATTTAAAGGTATTAATTGCTCCTAGAGCATCTCTTCATTATCAATGAGTTGACACGGTGTATTACTTCCACAGTAAGTGTGAAAATACTTTTAATTCAACGAGTCCCTCTATTTTGCTAAATCGTACTGATAACTTTTCATTTTGGAAAAAACTGCAAATGTAGATTCAGTGACAACCTTCTTTACAGGTCAACTTTCTTTTATAGCTTAAATAGAAAAGCATTTACCTATGGCCCAAAATTGAGAGTCAAAACTAGAGGTAAATATTATGCCCTGTATGTGAATTTGAATATATATCCTCTGTAACAAGTTTATCTCTATCACTTTCTTAACTTCAACACTGAAAGTCAACACCAGAAAGTCAAAACAGTTATATACTAATAAATGAGAGGTAAAAGACCATAGTTTTAAAATAGCAGGGTGGCATACAATCATTTCATCAGAGCAGGAGCAGACATTGTCTTTGCTTTGTTGAGTGACAATCAAATTTTACATGACTCAGCAATGACATGTCCATGACTCTTCTAGAGGGAGTTCCTTAAACTGTCTCAGGCACTAGTGGGCTTTTGCCAAGTTCCATTTCACCCTTAACTACTCTAAGAACTTCTAAAACTAGAAGATAATCATATGCACACAGGCTCTGAGAGCTAATTTGGAGATAAAAGCCCAAAGGAGTCAGAATTTGAAATTAAGCTCAGATACTACCAGAAAGTATTATTCATGACATTTTTTTCTAAGGTAAAATGAAGTAGTCCTTTAAAAAGAAAACTCCACTTTTAGAAATGTCAAACTTTTATTCATTTTCTTGCTGGGAATGTGTTTCTCATTGTAATAATATGCACAAAGAAGCATACTTTTTGTTTTTTGAATATTACAATCCAAAATTCACGGAATTTTTTCCATACAGGCTAGGTACTCTTGTAAAATAAATTAATTTTAATTACAAAGAGCTAGTACCAGTATATATATCTAAGAAGTATGTTACCATTAACCTGTAATAACAAACATGTGCTTTGATATTTTATTATTATAAAAAAAGGAGTTTTTAATGAAGGCAGTTTAGCAGGACTATTGTGAAAATAAATTTGAATTGAGCAGTCTATTAAACTTAAAGTCACGGTAGAATAAATTGTCAAGCAAGTGGAAATTTTTCTGTAATATATACATATTTTCATGTAAACAAAATCAAAGATCAAGAAAAAAATTAAATATCTTTGTCAGTAACAGAAATACATAGATTAAAAGATTTATTTTATTTTCTTCATGCTTCCACTGAACATGTCTGAATAAGCAGAGCAACAAGAGTTAGATGAATCTTTACATTCCCTCATACTCTTCAGGTTACATATGTAGGAGAAAAGAAGGTATTAAAGAAATTAGGCTCCTGAGAGTTATGAATTTCAAATATTAAGTAGCTTTTTTGCTCTATTGTGAGTCCATATGGTTCATCAGAATTTTGCCAGTTGAAAGGAGGTACAGCTACACTGGCAAGACCCAGCACTACCAACACACACAACAGCAAATGAGGCACAATGATAAATAGATTTTCATCTCAATGTGGATTACCCATGCACTAGGAAATGGCTTCCAACACAAAAATTTTGGATAAAACGGTCAGTATGTAAAGTGGGTTACAGGAACATTTCATTTCCCAGGGACCTGGATCAGGCAGAGTGCTCAAGAAGTGTGCATCCCTGGGTCCAACCCCAGCCCCTCTAGGCACCCTGGGGGCCTGTACTGTTAACAAGCTCCCCTGAGAATACTTATACACACTCACACTCATACCAAAGCTTAAATATCCCAACTCCACACTACTTGGGATATCCTTTGACCACAAATATTTCACTATCCCTTTCATGCTTCTCAAATAGCCAGATGTAAAACAAAAATAAAAATATTTCTGATTTGTTAGTTAGCAGTGATATTAATAGTGGTCTTTTTCCCCCCTTAAGAAAATACAGGGAAGAGGCAACATATGATTCTGCACCTAAATTTTTCAAAGGTATACCATAGTACTATTTTGTAAAGCTTTCGAAATGTGTGTTCAAAGTGATTTGTAAACTGTCATTGGATCAAGATTATCCAGTGTAAAGAGAACTGCTGTTCAGTGTTGTTACTGAAGTCTCACAAAGGCCCCTCATGGTCTCCTTTTGCAAACATGAGAATCTCAACAGGTGCTACAGTGCTCCCACCAAACCATGCACTGCCAACCAAGCACCACAAAATACCTAAGGATTACTCATAAAAACAGCACAAAAGAAAACAAAGCTCAGATTCATCCCTAACCCCAAACAATTGTTAAAGCTTACTGGCACTACCTATGAGAAATACAGATCATGCTGACTTTCCTTAGAGAAAGTCTAACTTCAAACACACTCATTAATATCTGCTTGTAATTCAGTTGATAGTGAGAATGGAAAGCATAATACACTTCATTTTGCCACAAGTATCTACCACAGTGTCTATGTTCTATAGGGTTCCCATGGACAAAAACAATACTACCTGTGACTAATATAAAATAGAAACCAGAGGTAGGTGACTATCATCATCAGATGATTCCAAAACAACATGTTGAATAATATGCATGAGTCCCCAACTGGAAAATTAATTCTAACACCATTACACGTGCTTTGCAAGCAGTTTCCCAGATCTGTAGTAATGTCATCACACTTCCAAAGTCCTAACTCCTAATACTATGCCATGTGCTCCTCAGACATTCGATTTTAAGGTATAGCCAACAAAGTAAAATAGAAAGAAATAATACTGGAGACCAAAGAGTGATGCTGATTATTTCAGCTGGACTCTTCAAAGAAATTTTCAATTCTCGCGTGGAAGAAAACACATCAGAGTTGGACAAGACCTTGAAGATTCATCTAATCCAACTCCCTGGTTGTACAACTGAAGAAATGGAAACTCCTATTTTCCCATTGGCTAAACAGAGGACTCAAAATTCTGATAAGATGCTCTAAATCCAAAATGTTCATGATTAACTTACCTATTTCTAAAGCTCATGATGTAACCAAAGGGCCACACTTCCAGTCCTTATGATCTTAGTCTGCAACTCTATCCCGGTAGGCTATTTTATAAAATGTGCCAGTGGTGGAAATAGAGAAGGCACCTCCACAATTATCAGTGAAAGAAAAAATAATTAAAGAACCCCAGGCTTGTTCCGTTAACACTTGCTATATGGTCGAACCAGGGCTTATCTTTACTTTTTCTTAGGAGACATGCTTCTGAGCACATTTACAGACTCCCGCTGTTTTACAGACAAGCATTGAGCCACCGATGATGTTCTTCTGCCCAGAACATTTAGAAAAATAGCTGGACTATTGGAAATTTCAAAATGCACAAGGCAAAGACCTATATACAGCTTATTTAACCTCTCAATAATTGTCAGTTACTTGTTTTGCAACTCCCCCCCTAAAAAAAGTCTTTTTAAATACCTTATTTATCTAAACCAGCTAAGTTCTAAGTGATACAAGTGGTTGTGATTTAATTTTTTCTTTTCTACGTTCCAAACTTCTTTTTTTCTTCTGGTAATAAAAAAAAAATTTTTTTAAAAGGTTTTAGTCTAAAGAAAATAAAAAGGTATGGAATTCCTGCTTGACTATAAAACATCTAAACCTAACAGAGCTGTCTGTGTGGCACAGGAGAACGTAGGCTCTGGACTTTGACAGATTTTTGGATCCCAGCTCTACCACTAGTCTTGGGCAGGATTTGAGTCTCTCTGAGGCTTGTTTTCTTCATTTGTAGAAGGAAGAATAATACCTACCTCACAAGATGCTGTGAGGATAAAACTATGCAGTGTGTCCAATAAATGTCAGACCCTTCTCCCCAACAGACTGAGCAAGAATTCTTAAACAGAATTGCCACACTCTACACCAGTCATCTTCTCACTGAATCCCATTTAAATCTGCAAGGGTACTCTTTCTCCTCTACTTTGTCCTATTGCTCAAAAAAATCACTATTGTGCTTTGAAAATTTTCTATATTTTTATGTTTTCACCTTTAAAATTTATATGCGGATAACACACTAAAAACAAAAAAAACTATCTTCCTAGAAATTATAATGCAATGTTCCCTAAAGCACATGTCATGTATAAAAATAATTCTGAAAAACATGACTGAATTAGTTTGTACATTGTTTCTTAAAGTGCACCAAAGTAAATCTTAATGAACTTTAAAATGTCACTAACCCCCTTAGGTTTTTCTTTTAAATAAAACTAAATATTTATCTACTGAGATGTATGTGGTTTTTGGCTCCAATGTGATGGTAAAAAGCAGCAGTGTCTTCCAGGAGAAAAGAAATGATAAACTCAATAATCATACTTAGCAGCAAACAAAATACCTACAATTCAATGTAACTGCAGGCTCAATAAAGCACAATCCTATAAAAACACTCCTATAAAAACCAATCAACCAAAGAAACAAAAGCCCATCTCCTTTTCCTCAGTAGAGTATTTCTCTTGAACCCTGGAGGTAACATTTGTGATCATTTCCCTAATGTGTATCCTTGGTGACAGAATTATAAGTAATCACCATTCTTTACGTTGCACACACACACACACAAACACACATCCTATGAAAAACAATAAAGTGTAAGTGTTCGAGAAGCAATGTGAAAGAAAATTCAAAGTCAGATAAAGAACCACCACCGTCCCAAACATCTGGCTGTTCCGACAGTCACACCACCGTCCGATGTTCTGCACAAACGTAGACAGCACTGGGCCGAATCCGGCGTCTCGTGTGACCCGGGAGACGCGGCAAAAACTTGAAGGATTTAGGCATCATGTCCAGGCAGGCGTCATGGAATTTCTTAATCCTCCAATAGTAGATGAGTGGGTTCAATGCAGACTTGAGGTAGCAGAGCCAGAGTAGCCAGGTGCTTATCTCAAAAAAGTTGTGCTTGTAGTAAAAGTGCTTACTGAATGTTGCCACAAGGCTGTAAGTGGTAAACGGGGCCCAGCAGACAATGAAGACAGCAAAGAGAATCAAAATGGTGGTGAAGGCACGCGTTTTAAAGCCCATGTCAATGCTCATCTGAAAGGGTCTCTGTAAACTCATGAGACCCAGCTTGCTGGCCTGGCTAAGGCAGATGCCCTCAGGGTAGCTGTGGATCCTCAAGGCATTATGCCGAAGAGTGTTGAGGATGCCCATAAATGAATACAGTATCACCAAAAAGGGTATGAAGAAAGAAATAAGAGAAATCATAATCACGTAAGCCTGGTATCCTGGGTTGGTTGTGTACCCAAACACACACTGGGGGGCTCGGGAAGGCATCTGCAGTTCAGGGTTGCCTACAGCCAGAGGAAGAGCTATACAAAAGGATGTTGCCCAAGAAACTGCAATCAGAACCTTAGCCCTGTATGGATTTAGCTTATCTTGTTTCTGCACGATAATAAGGAATCTATCAATGCTAATGATGAGCAGAATAGCTACTCCTTCTATCACAAACAACCAGAAAAACATAGCCGACACCCTACAGAAGAATTTCCCAAAAATCCATCTGGTTGTAAGAATAGTTATCAAGGCAAACGGCATGTTCAGAACTGCAAGTAACATATCAGCAAATGCCAGGCTGGCAAGGAGGATGTTAATTGCCGAACGCATAGCAGCTTTTTGGTAAACCATGAGGCAAACCACCAAGTTCCCCAGAAAAGACACAAACAGAATAAATATCATGACAGCAGAAAGAATGATCTGGAGAGGCAAGTTCAAGCTCTTAAAAACTGCTGGTGTTGGGGTCACAGCTGTGCTATTCCCTGTCAAGGAATTCATCCCAGTCGGAGCCAGGGGTTCAAAACTGTATCTAAGAAGCGGGCCAATGCCGGCATGCTGCAATGGTGGAGGGACCGTCATATTCACGTATGTGTTTTCATAGACAACAAACGTTGTGTTGGACGCCCCTGTATGGGACGCAGTCAACACTGCCGAGAAGACCATGGTTTTTGTAGGACAGAAGGTGCCAGCCTGGGCAGGCGCTCCTGGAGCATTTCAACACAGGGTAGCAGTGTCATGTTCCACTGATGGGCTTGGAAACACATTCTGGAAAACAGACAAAGAGTTCCATCTTCCAAAGCAGTCCTGTTGCCTATAAACAAGTCCAAAACACACACAAAAAAAGGTACATGAGAAATTAGCTCTTTTGTAAATAATATTTGACTTACCTTTCATTGTGTTTGTGTTTTAGAATTTTCTCTCTTTTTAACCCTTTAAAATATTTAAGCCTCTTTATCACTCAGATATTGTTATGTATTTGTCAACCATGATGGCAATTTCATAACATTCATACATAAAGCGAAAAAATATCAAAATGTATAACCTCTCAAAGACAAAAGTTGTAAGTAACCTAATGAGTTCTTTTCTTTTAATTATCTGTCACTACAACATTCCCCAGTCACTATGAAAACAAATTTTATTACTGGTTCTCCTGAGACTATTAATAGTGTTCTTAATAGCTGTATGATACAGGTTCATATTCTACTTTTTCATCACCACAAAGATGGTTGGCAAGGAACATTATTCTCAGTATCTTATTTAACCCCATAATCACACACTTTCTTCTAACAACCTTATAAGTGCCAGGTTATTTCCAATGAAGGTCTAAGTTTCTTGACTTCCTACTTATCTGTGTTTCTTTCTGAAAACTATAAAGAAATTACTCAAAAGTTATTTTATTTTAATTTTATGTTGAGGTAACACTGGTTTACAATGTTGTTTGTTGTTTCAGAAATATAAAACTCCCCTTTGGGTGTTATTACCACATCACACCCAACAGCACAATACCCACAGCCTACCACCATAGTCCATTGTGCTCTTTCCCATTTTCAAGGTTGCTATGAAAGTCAGGGTCGATTCTTTTAACAAATCTCAATGACTAGGAAAAAAATAAACACATACAAGTTTAAATCAATACTATACTACACTAATTACCTGCACTTAAAAGAGTTAACCATCAGGGCCCTTCTTGGTGGCACAGTGGGTTAAAGCACAGTACTGAGAAGCTAAAGCCACTTCAGCATGGGTCTGATCCCCAGCCCCAGAGGTGACCCACATAGCGCTGCAGACCTCTCCTGTTCTGCTCCCCACTGTCTCTCACCACACTTGCACCTCTGGCCTGTACCCCAGTTTTATATGCATAAATAAATAAATCTTTATAAGAAAAAAAAGAGTTAACCATCAATTTTAGGGATAAATGATGTAAGTTCATTTATTCATTTTGTAGAGTATGAAGGGTGAAGGCATCCCATTTGGGAAACTCAAATATCCACTGCTTGTGATCAAATCATAGGTCTCTACCCACACCTACATCCCTTTGTAATCCCTTCTCTGTTGTCTAGTGCTGCCTTTATGAATAAGAGGATACTAACCTATTTGTTTGATATACTATTTTTTACTATTTACTCATTTTAAAAAAAGATTTATTTGTTTATTTATGCATACAAAACTGGGGTACAGGCCAGAGGTGAAGGGGCAGTGAGAGGATCCACCAGAGACAGAGTGGGGAGCAGAACAGGCTGATCTACAAAGTACACTGCTGAGGGGAGCAGCAGGCGGGTCAGGTGAGGTCTGCCGCACCATGTGGATCACCTCTGGGGCAGGGATCAAACTCATGCTGAAGTGGCTTTAGCTTCTTAGTGCTGTGCTTTAACCAGCTGTGCCACCAGGGTGGGCCCCTATTTACTCATTTTTTTTTTTTTTAAAGATTTATTTATTTGTTCATACAGAACTGGGGTACAGGCCAGAGGCTCAGGGGCGGTGAGAGGCTTCACCAGAGACAGAGTGGGGAGCAGAACAGGCAGATCGACGAAGTACACTGCTGAGGGGAGCAGCGGGCGGGTCAGGAGAGGTCTGCCACACCATGTGGTCACCTCCAGGGCAGGCGGGAATCGAACTCATGCGGAAGCGGCTTTAGATTCTCAGTGCTGTGCTTTAACCCGCTGCGCCACCAGGGAGGGCCCTATTTACTCATTTTTATAGCCTGATTTTTGTCTCTACTAGAGTTTATCCATTTTCACTATCACTCTGAAATGCAAATCATACCTGGGAAAGATACCACACTTATTTGAGCCAAGTGACTCTCAAACTTTATTAACCACAAAAGGCAACTAGGGAAGACTAAGGTCCCCTTAATCACTGTAAGTCTCTTTAGAATCACCAACACATACATGTCCTTTCTTTCAAACAATGTCCTAAATATATCAGAGAAAAGTAATCAGAAAGCTAAAATTACTAAACATGTAGCTGTATTTTTGGAATAGAGTGAAAATTCAAAAATAAACAATTTAGAATTTTGGTTTTAAGCAGTCAGAAGCATATAGGAATAGATATTATCAAGCTAGTTAGGCAGTACTTAAATGGGGGATTTGCATTCTTAAAGAGAATAAACTGGTTCTTTTCTCTTAGAATTTGTTAGGAAGTATAATGTCAAAAATTGTCTCAGGCTTTTGGAATATAAATGAGCTTTTTAAAATTTCACAGTAATCCTGCGAGATTAGTCCTATTTTAATCCATTTTAAGGATGAGGACACTGAACAATTGCATGCCAACAAATCAGCTAACTGAGAATAAATGAATAAATTCCTAGAAATATACAATTTACCTAGTCTGAATCATCAGGAATAGAAAATCTGAACAGACCAATGAGTAAGGGGATTGAATCAATAATCAAAAATCTCCCAACACGTATGAAACATTTGAAGACTATTAATACTTGTCAAACTCTTCCCAAAACTTGTTTTATAAGACTAGCAATAACCTAAAACCTAAACCAAACAAGTACACTACTAAAAAAGTTACAGGTCAATATCCAATGACCATAGGTACAAAAATTCTTACCAAAATATTACCAAATTAAATTTAAAAACATATTTAAAACATTATACAACATGATCAAGAGGGATTTCTCTCTCACATATGAGAAAAGTTCAGTGCCTACAAATCAAAATAAATACATTAACAGAACAAAAGAAAAAATCATGAGTTTTTCAATAAATACAGAAAAAGCATTTGGGAAAAAAGCTCAATGTCCCTTTGTAAGGTGTCTGAAACCAAAAGACTGTTACAGATGGTGCCCCCTGCAGGGAGTTGCTGGTAAGAATAGATAGTCCCAGAGAAAATGCTAAAAAGTACCATATTTTGAGGTGAGGCTACCCATAAGAAATACAAGCTACAGCAGAAGGGGGAGGAATTCATTCAGGTCTTGGGATTCAACGTTTTGGTTTCTTAAGCATTTGAGTTCAGCGGATTCCGGCCCCCACCAAGCCTATCTTCCAGCAGCCAATCTTGGAGAAGAAAAGTTCTGAGACTTTGCAATTAAACAGGCATCTGAAATTGTTCCCAGTTTTCTTGTGGTTACCGCCTAGCAGAGAAGGCAAATACCTAGGGCTAGGTGCCTAGTTGAGCTACATAAATGTGGCTGTTTGTCAGTTGTTCGGCTGCTGCAGCTGCTTTTTTTTTTTTAGGGTGTACTCATCTGGTGCTGTACTGGGGCATCCCTGCAGCTTTGGAACGTCTCCAATTGTGTTTTCTGTTGTCTTCATGCATTGCAGGTAGGCCTGGAGTCTGGCTGTCAGGAGCTCCCAGTCTGCAGACATGAGGCAGAGTCTTCAGCATCAGAAAGACGCCATTTTGACTGTTTTTGTTTAGGACTGGAAAACACTAAACATGGCTTTGGGTGTGATAAAGGCCATCATTGACCTCAGCGACTATTTGTTTTCCCCTGGTTTGTTAAATAAATGCCTTTGTTGTTGTTCTCTGAGCCTAAGTAGTCTTGTAATTGTGCACATGAGCGAAGAACTTACAGTGACCATTTTAGCAGTACCTTTGGTCAGTTCAGTGCTGCCCTATATGACTTAACAAATCTGATATAAAACGAATGTACTTAACCACAACAAAGTCACATATGGCATGTCTGGAACTAATATCATATGCAAAGATAAAAAGTTAGAAGTCTTTTCTATAAGTCTCTAAGATTAGGAACAAAAGAAGGACAACCCATTTTCATCACTTCTGTTTAACATATTACTGACAATTCTAGCCACAGCAATTAGACCACTAATAATAGGAGAGGGGAAGGAGGAAGAGGGAGAGAGGAATGAGAGAGCAGGGAAAAAAAACATCCAAATTGAAATAGGATTTTCAATTCTATTCTAAAATTTTAAACTCTCCATTACAAAAATGTGTGAGAATAAATAAATTCAGTTAAGTTGCAGGATATAAAACATATAAAAATCAGTGTGAAGAAGATACAAATAAATGCAAAGATACAATGTTCTGGAAGAATTAGTATTATTATAAAGTGTCGATACTAACCAAAGTTTCCTCTAAATTCAATAAAATCCCCACTAAAATGCCATACCATATGGATGACTGTGAGAATTAAAAAGCTGGAAGTGGATAAAAAATACAAAGTATCATTAAAATACAACCACCATTATCTTTCTTTGGTATTTTAGCAATTTTATGCAATCAGTGTCTTCATTTTACTCTCTTGGGATGTGTATAAACTGATTGCAATTTTTTGGAGGGTCACCGAGCAGTATTTTTCAATATTAAGATAAAGTAATTTAACTTCTATATTATAAAAATAACATCAGAACTATGCAGACAAGGATATTTCTAGCAGCATTTTAAGTGTAAAAAAACTAGATTCCTTCTCAACAATAGCATGTTTAAATAGCACACATACTAGGGAATACTATGCACCTATAAAAAACACTTGATTAATCTGTAATAGTGACAACAAAGAACATTCATTGTAAACTGAGTGAAAAGAAATCAACCTGCAGAATGAAATACAATTTAGTCACACTGTGTCTGTATATAGATTATATATGCCTCTATGAGTATGTTGTGTACCTGTGTATGAATACTCATATACATATAGGCAAAACGATGAATATATACCAAACTGAGAAAAAGAATTTCCTCTATGGTGTAATAAATAGGGTGCAAAAAAATACATAACTTTTTTATTCACTTCATGGTTTGTAAAATGTTGATAATAAGTCAATAATAATTTTTATTAATCTATCACACTTATCTTCACCAGTTTCTTGTATAAAAGTCCTGAGGAGACAGGCCACAGCC